TAAGACTGCTCAGAAATCTTTTAGTAACAAAAGCTTATACTTTTAACTTTCCTTTTATTTTTTTTTTATTTATGGAACTGTTAGTATTGCATATTTTATATTTGTAAATATATATTTGTAACTTTGACAATAAACATTAATTGGAATGATTAATAACAAAATCTAATGTCTTAATCTTTATTATTTAACTATATTTTGAAACATTAACAGTAGAAATCGAATCAAATGACAAATAAATAAAACGTAAAAAATAGAAGTACATTATAAAATTATTTTTACAATTAGTATGCTTTTAATTAATAAATATGCTAAGGGTTATATATCTAGAGATTACACTATCATAAAAATGTACATTTGCAATTTCGTCATGTAAAATTGCACAGATTCATTTATACTAAAACACAAGTGTTTAGATTCCTAGTATTTACGAATAAACTTACTTTCCAAAAATATAACTATGATTAATATATTTTCAATTGATATTTAGTACAAAAAAAATATTTAAATACCTATAAAATTACTTTCTGTATCTCTTTTAAACTCTTCATGTTTCGCATGTTTCGCAGAAATTCATGAAAATAGCATTTATCCAGTCAACCAGAACACTTAGACGCAGGTATCCTGAACCCTGATTTATAATACCTATGATTGAGTGTTCCAAAGTAAATCATTGGTAGGGTTCGATATATAACGGTCATGAATACCAAATTAAGAAAAAATTTCTATTGTACATTAAACTAAGAACGTGTTTTCTAAGAAAGTTTAAGACATGTCATGTGGAATGTCACAATCGGTTACATTATGACTCACAGGTTGTTTGATCACATTTCTAAGTTTTATGTTACAAATTATTGTCAAATAAAAGGTAAGTGATAAAGTAAAGCAAGAATGAACAAAGCTTAGAAATTTGAGATTCAAAGCTGTTGCAAAAAAGATATTAAACATTCGATGTAGATGGTCAAGAAGAATGTATGCGGATGTATTATGAAGTTAGAATGGCAAGTGAGGATATAGCTGTAACTTCTAACTGAGAAGAGCGTGGATGTGTAAAGACACACAAGAATTAAATTGTAACTTAAATGGAGAAAATTAATAAATAAAATTACAGAGAGAAAATAGTTGTAGAAATAAAAAAGGACTAGTAGATATTGAATCTCACATTTAAATAATTATATTTTTGGAAAGTGTTTTATACTACTACAGTCAATTTTATTTTTGAAATCTTAAAATAACCAACTACATCATACAGTTTGATTTTATTTTAAATGGAATACCTTTTTATATATTTTTTTAACATATTATAAAGAGTAGTACGTATTTATTTAGTATATTTAAACTGTAACATCTGTAATTTAACGTAAAGTAATTGTTTTCAAACACGGAATTCCAAGTTTAAATAGGGAATTCCATGTTTGAATAGAAAATTCTGTGTTTGAAGAAGGAATTACCGTGTTCCAACACGAAAATCCTTGTTCAAAAACAGAGTTCCGCAATTCAACAGGAAAATATATTAAAATTCCGCGTTTGAATAAAAAATGTACGTGTTCGATCACGGAATTCCATGTTTCAATATGAAATTCAGTCATTGAATAAAGAATTTCGTATTTCTGCAAAGAATTCCTTATTCGGGCACAGAAATTCCTTACTCAAACACGGAATTATGTGTTTGAACACGGTATTTCGTATTCAATCAAGGAATTCCGTATTGTTGTTGAAATATACGAGGCAGCGTAAGAGAGCTACATTTTTAATCTTTTTTAGTTATCAAATTTCGTTTTAAAACACGGAATTCCAGTTTAAATAGGGAATTCCGTGTTTGAACAGGAAATTCCGTATTTAAATAAGTAATCTTCGTATTAACACACAAAAATCACTATTCAAACGCGGAATTCTACATTTGGGCAGGGAAATATGAAATTCCGTGTTACAATAGGAAATTCCGTGTCTGAATAAAAATTTGTACAAAGTAATATAAAATTCCATGTTTCAATAAAGAATTCCGTTATTAAATAAGGAATTCGGCATTTGTGCAAGGAATAGTATTGGGACACAGAAATTCTTTATTCAAAAACGAAATTCTGTGTTTGAATACGGTATTTCGTATTCATTCAAGGAATTCCGTATGTATACTCAAATATACAAGGCAGCGTAGAAGTGCCACATTTTTTATTCTTTTATTTCTGAAATTCTGTTTTTAAACAACGAATTTCAAGTTTAAATAGTGAATTCCGTGTTCGAACATGGAATTTCGTATTTGAACAAAGTAATATAAAATTCAATAAGTAATTCCATTATTGAATAAGGAATTCCGTATTTGTGCAAGGAATTTAATATTCGAACACGGAATTCCGTGTTCAATTTTTAAAGTGAGAAAAAAATATTTAGATAACAAGAAATGAAATATTCAAATATACGGGGAGCATAGAATTGTAATATTTTTTATTTCTGAAATTCCGTTCTCATACAGAGAATTATATCTGTTATTAAAAAATTCACTGCTAAAATAGGGAATTCTGTGTTTGAAATATTTGTGCAGAGAAATATGAAATTACATGTCAAACACGAAATCTCGTGTTTGAATAAAAAAATCCGTGTATGAAATATGAAATTCCGTGTTACAATAGGAAATTCCGTGTCTGAATAAAAATTTGTACAAAGTTATATAAAATTCCATGTTTAGATAAGGAATTCCGTTATTGAATAAGGAATTCCGTATTTGTGCAAGAAATTGTGTATTTGGACACATGCATTTCTTATTCAATAACGAAATTTCTTATTGAAATATGAAATTTCATATTACTTGGTTCAAATATGGAATTCCGTGTTCAAACAATGATATTTTTTCTCATTTGAACACAGAATTTCATATTTTCTTGTTTAAAAGTGGAATTCCGTGTTTGAACAGGGATTTGCGTGTTTGAATACGAAAAATCCCAATTTATACACGGAATTTTTTATCCAAACATAGAATTCGGTATTTAAAAACGGAATTTCAGAAATGAAAAAGAATGAAAAATGTAGAAGCTATCCCATATATTTGAATATTTCTTTTTTTGTTATCTTTAAAAAGCAAACAAGGAATTCCATGTTCAAATACTTAGTTCCTTGCACAAATACGGAATTCCTTATTTAATAACGGAATTTCTTATTGAAACATGAAATTTCATATTACTTTGTTTAAATACTAAAATGTTCGAACAAGGAAACTTTTTATTCTAATACGGAATTTCGTATTTCAACATTTACTTTTTAAAATGCGTAATTCCGTGTTTAAACAGGGATTTCCGTATTGGAACCCGGATATTTCTTATTCAAACATGGAATTCCGTGTTTAAAAACGGAATTCCATGTATTAAAAAAACTTAAAAATGTGGCTCTTTTACTCTGCCCATATATTTCAATATAAATATGAAATTCCTAGATTGAATAGGAAATACCGTGTTTAACCATGGAATTCCGTGTATGAATAAAGAATTTTTGTGTCCGAATACAGAATTCCTTGCAAAAACACGGAATTCCGTTGAACACGGTATTTCCTATTCAATCTAGGAATTCCGTATTTATATTCGAGTTCAGTCGAGGAATTCTGTATGCAGACACGGAATTTCCGTATTAAACTATGAAATTTCGTGTTTAACATAGAACAAAAAAAAAACACTACATAAGTATGCGTAGTTGATTATTTTTCATTTAAAATCGGTTAATACGTTTCTATTTAGACAACATTTAGAACAGATTTAAAACTAGCAGGAACGATTTGTTTAACTATTTAAAAGCCTACATATACAATTACTTACAAATACACAGAGATCCTCATGCACAAAACCAGTGGCGGGTACAGAAGATCAAACACATACCCAAAAAAATATTTTATAAACGGTTTTATAAAAAATTTAAATAATTATGCTAAGGAAATATTAAAAATACAAATTTTATAAATCATATAAAATATTTTTTTTATTTAGTGCACTTTATCGCGCAACCTCTGTATCCACCACTGAATAAAATGATAATACTAAAACGTATATACAAAAAAAAACTGTTTCACAAAAAACAATTTAATTGAATTAAAAAAAATCGAATTTTAAGCAGAAAAATACAATCGTCTTTGGTACAAACTTGTTTTAAGTAAACCGGGTCTAAGAAAAAATCCAAAATTTTGTATATTTGAGTAATAAATTTTTATGTTCATAAAAAATTAAATTTTAGAAGTCTTTAGATATTTTTTTGAACTTTTTATATAGACCGATGAAAAATATACATTCTATAAATGGCACGTATCTACATTTATCGATCATATACTTACAATATGATTCTGGAAACTAAATGATGAATTTAAATCTAATCTTGATCAAATTAAAGAAGGGGAAATCTGAAAAACACACTAAAAATTCTATCGAATAAGTTAATTAAGTTCTTTAACTATTTAAAATGTACAGCATTTTTAATGACTAAGAAATAAGTTACGATTCAGTAATCTGTAAAACTTTTTACTATTTTGTAACTCAAAAACAAATTTATTAGTTTTTTGTTAGAAATTAAATTTTGAATAAAAAAACATTGATAAAATTAAAAAAAAATCATCTAATGCTTCACTGATCACTTTCGCTTTTACATTTTACCAATATATGTGACACGCGCCATTTTTCTCGAAAATTTACAAATTTCAATAATACTTTAAATAATATTTACAAAACACACACACATATCTAACTTCGCGGGCTTTATTTTGGTAAATACTGAGAATGACTAGGTAGCTCAGGGCAAATTTTACCGAATTCTGACTTAACAGTCTCCAATTCATTTAGTTTACAATAAAATCTAAATTTGAAATATTCGCTTCCGTATTTTTTATACTAAAAGCACCCATAATGCCATAAGCTCTCTTACTATAACACATCAATAGTAACGGCGCTTACTGTGTAAATTAACTGTAATCACATAATTATATAAGTTAAATTAAATTTCGATAAAAATCACCCTTGTAAAACACCAAAAATTTAAGTTAGGGGAACACCCATCGAGTTACTTCTCGTTCTGTTCAGTACTTTGGGCAACCGTTTAAGAAGCAACGCCTGCTCGTTCCGTTGGGGTTTGTGGAAGCGTCCAGGTCGATTCTTTAGGTTCCTCGTATCGCCTTGATCGCAGAAAGTGTGCTTTTGCCAATTCTGGAGTTCAACACCAAGCCTGGAAACAAAAGAATATTAGATACTTTTCATGATAATGTAATATTTTAGAATCAGGTTCGCTGAAAATATTACTAGTTCCAGAAGTTTGGAGGTTCGGAACATTTTGACACCTGTTATAAGTAGTTTTTTCAACACATATATGGACTAAATGCTGTCCAGAGATGTTTGACTTCTGAATTGAGTAATAACTGTGATGTGCAAGTTAGAATACAAGATTGATTATTAACATGACACACCAATATACAGGATGTTTCATTGGGAAAGGGAAATGTTTTAACCCTATACAGGGTGGACCGGATTTAATTTGCGTATACAGAGATCTCGTAAAACGTAAGATATACATTGTCGGTTAAATTATTATTTAATTAGCTATCTTGTTTTAATCAAGTAAGAAACGGTATCATCAGAAGCTACATAGCTGTTAAAAAAACCAGGTTCGTATTTAAAAAAATAAGTTGAAGGTGGCCCTGCAAATACGAAACGTCGTAATAAAAATTTTGACATGGAAAACTTCGTATAATTTTTTTTGTATCTTTTATAATAACAACGCACGACTTAAAAAACGAAAATGAGGTTTTTCGGATTTTATCGAATATCCCCGGAACCAGTCAAAAAATCTAGAAGTTCTATGGACCATTATATTATCCGTCAAAATACGAAACTTTTCCCCATTTAACCGACAATGTATATCTTACGGTTTACGGTCCACCCTGTACACATAGGCGCCGGAATTCAAAAATCGCTTTGGGTGCCCGGCTTCTATGCGGAAAATGGGGGACATCCTCTCCCCACCCTCCACAACTCACTTAAAGGCACCACCGGTTTTTTTAAAAAGCTATTTTAGGTTGATTTTATGAAAATTTTCTTCAAAAAAAAAGGTATTGTCAAATGGCAATTGCTGGATAGGCTGGAGGCTCTCACCTAAAACGGGATATCTGGCAACCCTATATGCTCGGTGCAGCCACCACTGGTATTTCGAAGGTATTTTTACATAGATTATAACCCCCAAGTTTTAAATCGCCACTGTCTTCCTAGCCATTATCTTTTAACGATTTTTATTTTCTGTAAAAGCCTACCAGTTAATCGAGTAAATGCTAGAAATGCTGATTCTGGGCCTCCATGCAATAATAGAGGTTTTGTTCAAAATGCTATCGGACATTTTGAAGCATCTATGGGGTGATTTGATGACATTCATCAATTATCCGTTGTCGCAGATTTTCCAGTGATGTTGGCTGGGTGGCATACATTTTAGTTTTTAAGTGGCCCCATAAAAAATCCAACGGGCTTAGATCCGGAGACTGTGGGGGCTACTCAATACTTCCTCTTCTTCCGATCCTGGAAACCTGGAAACGTTTGATCCAAATACTGACGAACAGTGGTGCACCGTCATGGTGGTTAAGTTGTTTGCTATGTACTGATCGTCATTTTCAATCAACTCTAGTAATGCTGGATAAATAGCGTTTTATAATAATTCCAGATACATTTCTGCGGTTAAAGTTTCTGGTAAAAAAGGGGCCTATTATACGGTTACCAAAAAATATAGCCCAAACATTCAGTTTTTCCGGATGTTGCGTATGTACTTCATGAAATATTCTGGGATTTGAATTGGACCAATAACGACAGTTGTGACGATTTACCGTACCATTTAGGAAAAAAGTGCATTGTCTGAGTAACACACGTTGGAAAGAAATTGCTGATCATTTAATACTCGTTCAGTCATAATTTCACAAAATTGTAATCGTCTATCAAAATCGTCTTCATTAAGTTCTTTTACCAGATGTATTTTATAGGAATAAAACTTTCAATATCTTCTGAATACTACGTCTCTTAATACCAGATGTTATCGCCAACTGTCTTATGGGTTCATTAACAACATGTCCTAAAATCGCCACCTCTGTAGCTTCATTTACTACAGAATTTTCCATTTCACGTTATTTGTTAGCTACTGACCCAGTTTTCCAAAATGTAGTTTCGATGGACTTGTCGATTTTGATGTCGATTGTTAAACAGTTAGGCAGCTCTATTAGCACATTTATTAATCGCAAAAAAAGTGAAATTATTGTCACCCTCTTAGCAATAGAGTAAACCATTATCACTGATATGCCTCTTTTATGCCGACTCTACAACGAAATAAATTAAACCTTACTACTTTACGGCGACCAAAGAATGTCATCTGATAAGAATAATTGAGAGCCACAGGAATAAAAGTAAAATTGTTACAAATAATTCCTTTTTTCTTTTAATAACAATATAAAAATTATGTTAAACCGGTTTTGTAGTTTTGGTGAGCCACTGTATGGGCTACATAGATAGTAGCGATGTAAAACTCGGGGGTTATTATCTAGGTAAAAATACCTTCAAAATAACATATCATTCGACCAATTTTTCCATTTAAGACATAACTGGTGAGTCTCACCCCCGATAGAGGGTTTCCGCTTAGAGGGTGAAACTGCCAAAACAATGTTCCCCCCTAAAAAACGAAATCGACGGGTCCAAGCGTTTTTTAGTAGATGGCCAGCAATACTAGAGAGCTGCTTCTAACTCTAAATGAACGGTTTTTTTTCTAACGGTGCTTGATCGGGAGCAACTTTCAAATGTTCTCCCTTTTCCTCTTAAGCATTTGCTCAATGGCATAGGTACAAAGATCTTATCTTGATAATTATAAACCGTTATTAATCTTTAATTTTTGACGTCATAGGGTTTTTTACACCAAAAATAATAAACCCTTAAGTTCAACGCGTTGTCTATGACAAGTTACGGCGACTTTTTTATCACAAAAAATATAGCTCTGAACGATAATATTTTATTGAGGCATCTGACGCTATACCAACTTGGGCCACGACAGCTTCTTCATTTCACTTATTGACACTTTTTGTCCTCGTTGTGCTCTGGGTGCTTGCGCACCCGGAGCCCCGGGGATTCGGCGCCTATGCCTGTACATATAGAGGTTAGCCAGATGATCACAAAAAACTCATATAGTATGGGTTTGGCAACCTTTATAACCGAGTTACAGAGTGTTTTTTTTTAATTTAGCCCATTTCTTCCATGCTCCATAACTTTTGAATCACTCAGTATATTTTGTATATGTGGGCAGAAGAAAATCCCTTTGCAATACGGGAATGTCATTCCCAACAAAAGTTCTTTGTGAAAATTTGACAATAAACTAATTGGACCCCATATCTTTGACGATAGATTAACTTGTGAAATTTACTTGGACTTTTTGGAGAACATTTTACCAGTGCTCTTGCAGGATGCGGTTGTAAATATAGGTGGAATGTATTTTCAACACAACGGGGCACCTCCCCCCTATACGCGAACTGCATAAAACACACTTAAATAACAATTTTCCTAATACGTGAACAGGTAGAGGAAGTCCTAATAACTGGCCATCAAGGTCACCTGACCTAAATTCTCTAGACTATCACGTTTGGGGTTACCTAAAATCAAAAGTTTATTTGACTGCCATACTTAACAGAGGGCAACTTCTTCAAAAAATACATAATTCTTGTAAAGAGTTAAAAAACAATCTAAATGTTTTGAGAAGATCGGTTCGCAATTTGATAAAGAGAGCCAGTTTATGTATGGAACAAAATAAAGGACATTTTGACAATTATTAAAATAAATTTATTTTGCCCGGAATTGTTAGTTATTGTAGAGAGCGGAATATATACAAAATGCATATATATGTATTTTTTGCATATTTTACCAAAGTTCAGAAAATATTGCATATTTTACCAAAGTTCAGAAAATTTAAGAAAATATTGCATATTTTCGAAAAAAAAAATTTATTACTATACTGTGCAAATCAAAAACTGTTTTAACAGATTATACAGATATATTTGAAATAAAGACCTATTAAATTTTTGTATTTGTTTTTAAGTGTCAATTCTTGTAAATTCTTGTTAATTAGTTCTTGGAGGGTGGCATGCACTGGGTTTTTACCTTCTTAAGAGATTAAGCCCATTAAGGTAATTGTTAATAGATGGTATTTACACAGATAAAGTATTACCTATAATGCAATAAAACGGTTTATATAAAATTCTTAGTAATTTCTTGTAACCAATCTACCATAACATCGGAATATTTTGAATGTTTTTCATTCAGTTTAATGAGATAGTATCCTCGTTATTTGCCTAGTGAAAAGTCTTGTAATAATGTGTTGTTTTAAAAGTGTCCTAAAATGTCGAGAATTTCTTCGTGGATTATTAACTTTCCAGAGTTGGAAATCAATGGGGATAAAGTTTTTTGTAAAGCTTGTGCCAAAATAGTGGTTTGCGAAAAAAAGTTCAAAGTGGTTCAACACGTGAAAACATCATTGCATAAAGCCAAATTGCAAAAAATGAAATCACAATCGGTTCAACAATGCGTTATGAGGTCATTTCAAAACGCCGACAAAACAAAAAGTGACAAGGAGGTATTTAATCAGGACTTGTGCAAAGCTCTTGTTGCGGCAAATATTCCATTAAAGTACAAAACCTATATCTAAGAGAATTTTTACAAAAATATTGCAATCAAACCATTCCTGATGAATCTACACTCTACACTACTGGATGATAGCAATTTTTACATCATTGTTGATGAACGCACAGATGCTTGTGGAAGATATATGGTACATCTTATGATTGGAGCCTTAAAAGAAAATGAACCAGGTACATCATATTGAATTGCATCAAAACAGTTAGAAAAAACTAACAATACAACTGTTACCCGATTTATTCAACAATCTCTAGCAGAATTTTTTTTACCAAATCAAATTCCCTCAGAGAAGTTCTTAGTGTTTTTGTCTGACGCAGCACCATATATGATAAAAGTAGGGCAAAACTTAAAAATATTTTATCCAAATATGGTCCGCGTTACTTGTCTTCTGCATGGAATAAACTTAGTTGCAGAAACTGTGAGAACAGAATATCCCTTGGTTAACAAGCTAATTTCGAATGTGAAAAAAATATTTTTAAAAGCCCCTTTAAGAGTGCAGTTGTATAAAGAGAGACTGGTAGGGGTGTGTTTGCCCCCGGAACCAGTAATTACGCGATGGGGGACATGGATTAAAGCAGCTATATTCTATGCAGAAAATTTTGAACCAATTAAGGATTTAATTTTGGATATAGAAGACAATTCACAATGTGTAGTGCAAAGTAAAGAATTGTTAAAAAATCCCCTTATGCCTAAGCAACTTGTGTTTATAAAGGTTAATTTTAGTTTTTTACCTGATATAATAACTTCATTGGAAAAGAAAAATTTAATTTTAATCGAATCAACAAATTTTATTGCAACAGTTTCCGATAAATGTAACAATGTTCCTGGTGACATAGGCCTTAAGATTAGAAAAAAATTAAATACAACTTTATTAAAGAATGAAGGGTTCAATGAAATAAGAGAAGTAAAAAACATTTTTGAGGGAAAATTTTCCAAAGAAGTTTTACGTTGGCCCTGTACATTACTTCCAAAATTACAGTATTGTCCTATTACTTCGGTAGATGTTGAAAGGACCTTTTTCATATCAAAACATATTTTTACAGACAGAAGACAAAAATTTTTAATAGAAAATTTCGAAAAATATTTAATTATAAATTCCTATTTAATATTTTTATACTATTCTATACCTAACTTCTACTAGTTTTTGTGTTTCGTTTCTTTTAAATAAATTTTTATATTACATATTTTCTTTTGTTTTTTTTTTTCGTGTAATGGCTTTGATAGCGTACCAAATTAGGAACAGCAATGTTAATTAGAACCCAACAGTGAATGGTCAAGTGGAAATATTCGCTAGGCATCAGAATTAATTTTTAAATAAATTAATTAATTAATTTATTATGGGTATTTTTATTATATGTAAGCTCTAAAATTATACAGTAATCATCACATTTTACAGAGTTTTGGGAGAGGTAGTTGAAAGGCGAAAAATGAAGAAGAAAAAATACTTTTTTTTAGTGCAGTTCGTAACAGATGCTTCAATAACAATCTCACATGGAGATTGTTTCAAACTTGTTATAAAAAATTATTAATTCATAATGAAGTAAAGTCAAATAAAACTGCCAATGCAATTGCTTTAGATGGCACCAGCATCTTGGATTGTAGCAACACTAGTAGCCAAATTGCGTTAAATTTAAAATGTTACGAATCAGACACTATAAAGAAAATTTGGAATTTACAAATGAGCTTCGTGACCATGATTACCTATCTATATATTTTCTGAGCGAATACATTCAGGATGTAGTTGATTATATTTCTGGTTTTATAGTATAATCCTTAAAGAAAAAGATTCACTGCAAACAGTGTTCTGCAATTGAACCAGTGAGTTCGAAAACCGTACAAGTCTCAAATTTGACATTTCAAAGTAAGCCATTTCGTTTAAAATTTGTCTCTTCATCGATTGAGCTTAAAAACCGTACTAGATACCTAGCTGTTAATGTAGTACAGCTGATTATACCCGTGAAATTAGGTGAAAAACCGTACAATCTGCGACTCGTACGGTTTTTCATCTCAATAACAAAATAATGGTCAGTTGGAAAAACACAAATACTGAAAATGATGATTACATAACTGAGATAACAGTTTTGATATTGTATTTTTCCTCCTTTTTGAATAAATATAAAATAAATCTTTTCTCTTCGACAGACTTTCTGTCTCAACTGTCAAATGTGCTACTTTCTGTTCTTAATACAAAAATAGCTATTTTGTCTTTTATTCCAAAATATGCTTTACAAAATATCAGTTATCTTATAACACTAAATAAATCTATTGAGCAGATTCTTCACCAAGAGTGTTTGTAGGAGTAATCATTGATAGTAAAATGACATTCGAAATATCACAAAAGAAGCTTCCTTTAGTGTTTTTTCTATTCGGACAAATTAGAAACAAAGTATCTCTTGATAATCTTAAGCTAATGTGTTTTAGCCTTGTTCAGATATTATAAAATCATTGCTGATTACTGTCCTAAATGAGTTATTATATCATTACACAAATAATTCTAAAAATAGGTGTCGTGACATGCAACCCAAATGGTATGTAATAGAAAGATCATATTTGTATATTTATGTATCTGAAATAAAATTGTTCTGTTTTTAATAGCTTTTTATTTCAAAAAAAAAGGTAGTCCGGCAATATAATTATTCTTTTTTCGACCTGTTGAAAAGGTTTTCAAACAGTACCCATGTAAAAATAATAATAAATGGCTTTATATTTTTACTTGCTCTATATATAATAAAATACTAACTAAAATGTTCTTCCACTTTGAGCTACCTACTATTTTAATCTATAAGAAAATATATAAAATGACTTTTTGAATGCCCTTTATAAATTGAATATGTTTTCTTTAAATTTACCTTTGATTCCGAAGACCCATAAGTTATTAATTTGGTCATTAAATAATTTTTACTAAAAATATATGTAAACCCTCCCGAAACACTACGTCAATGTGCGACGTACGATTCCCCTTTCCCCGTCTGGTAAAACATGCGGACAGAAGGTGTATTGGGTATACAGTGTGTAGGGCGAGTCTATCTTAGATAATATGATGTCTATGGTTGGTCCACATAATGTCAGCACAATAAAAATGTGAAATATTGGTAAACCACATACAATACCAATAATATTAATACAGACGATCAGAATCACGCAGAAAGACAAAAAGAGCTGGAGTGTCTTCTTGGATCCAGTTTTTACTCTATCTACATATATTAGTAATTTGGCAACGTTGGAAGATATGACTGTAGCTGATAATACTGCTATCCTTGCAGTTGTTCAAGACTAAGAAATATCCATAAGAAAACTCCAAACTATTACTCAATTCACTAGTTAGATAAACCAATCAATGGATAATTAGGCTCAGTGAACTAAAATCTATTTATATGAAATTCACTGATAAACAAATTGCAGAACCTCTGTCTCTAAAAATCAATGTATATCATAAGCTAAGTGTCAAAGTACCTTGGCATGACCCTTGATGCAAAGTTAGGATGGAAAGTACATGTTAAAAAGAAAAAAATTAAATTAGGATTTAAATATAAACAGCTTTACTGATGTTTGGGAATAAACGCCAAACTCTCAGTAGATACATAATAAAATATACCGGCGCGGCGTCGCTTTACGATAATCAATTATGGGGATGTGTCAGATCTTCATCATCCAGACCTTGGAATTCCAACAGTGAAAAAAGAAATTAAAAGCTTTGCTGGCAAGCATTATGTCAGACTTCACCTACATAGCAATGCAGTAGCTCTTCAGCTGCTGGACAATAAAGACTGTATTTGGCGAGTGAAGAGGATCAAGCCATTTGATATTCTGTGGTTTGTTGTGTAATCATAACAATCTAAGAAGATCAGTGAACTGACTTTAGTTGATAAGTACTTAGTTTTAGAATATTTTGGAACACAATTTAAGGTGTTGAAAGGCCTTACCTCGCCCTCGGTCAGGGTTTTTGTTTTAATTTTGTCTTCTGTATGTGGATAAAGAACAGTGACAAAACTGATAAAATTTCCAAAAGGGAGTAAGACGAAACATATTAATCATAGTATTTAAAATAAAACTGATAACAAAATTGGTTATTTAGTAGTACATACCTATCACATTCTCGGGCATACGCCATCAGACTATCACAGTAGCACTTTTTGCGTCCCTTACAATGATCCATATCCATTTTGCAAGCCTTGAAGTACTTGCTAAAGTTTAACTTCGAATGGCACGACGAAAATGTGTCGCTATTAAAGTGTCTGCAAGCATTCTTCTTCATAGATTTCATAACTTTCTGCGGCCGAATTTTCTTTGCACATTCCGTCTTTTTTCCCAAGCACCAGGAAGCACCGAAGGCTAAAATTTCTTTATCAGACACAACCTTTCCAGATTTTGTTGTCAGATCATCTTGTACTTCAAAATTGAAATTGCCACACAAACCACACACTTTATTTTTCATGCTGGGCGGTACGGTCACCTCTACAAAACTCTTGAAATTCCAAAAAATTTTCACGCCGTTATTTAAAAGTATCTCGACGGATGAGTTATCCTTCTTTTTTTCTGCTTTGAATCTTCCGTCTACTTTGAAGGGTGGCGATATGAGTGATCCGTTGAATTTGATCCGACCCCTTTGCTGAAGATTTAAACGGACGTTCATGTATTTGATAGACACCCGTCTGGTCGAAGAGGAGTTATCCACTAAGGTATTGGCGACTCTTACGAAGAAAGTGTGGTTGTTGCAATCGGCTGCCAGTTGGTATTTTCCTATGCCTTTGAAAGTGTATATTTTACCGTCGAATGTTTTGTAATGTGGATCTCCGAATACCATGCAAGCTCCATCAACTAAAAAATATTATACTTGTTAGTGACGATATCATTATACTAATCAGTTTTTAGTAACTGTATGAAAATACTTTTAAGTTTCGATGTCGTACGCGAAATATTCGACATATAGGATTCTACCTTCACAAATTTGGCGGACCGTGTTAATAAGCATCGGAAAAATATAGCGAACTATGGGTTTTTCGTGCCTGCTTCAAGTTATTATATTAATAGTGTAAAGAGAAGCCAGTTCAAACTCAACAACAATATATACCAGATGGCCGCAAGAGGCCCGAAAACCATTGTCCACTTGAAGGCCCCCTTAAAAGTATGAACGGTGTAGGTTTCGTACACACTTGAGAAAGCCTAGCTAAAAGCAGATCGTGTCTAGAAGAATTAAAGAAAAACAGGAGGGAATAATGATAGAATAGGGAAGGAATAAGCAGGGAATAGGGAGGGAATAATGAGGCACTAAGAAGGAAATAAGGATGGAACAAAGGAGGATAAGGAGGGAATAAAGAGGTAATAGGGAGAGAATAAGGATGGATTACGGAGGGACTGGGAAGGGAATACGGAGAGAATACGGAGGAAATACGGAGAGAATAAGGAGGGAATAAGAAGGGAATTAGGGAATAAGGAGATAATATAGAGTAATAATAATAATAATAATAATAATAATAATAATAATAATAATAATAATAATAATAATAATAATAATAATAATAATAATAATAATAATAATAATAATAATAATAATAATAATAATAATAATAATAATAATAATAAAAGTTTATTTGAAAAATGTACAAAAAATTAAATATAATAATTTTTTTTTTTTAAATACATTTTTTTTTAATAATATAAATATTTTTTTTTTTTTTAGGTACATGCAAATAAACTACCCATTGCCACAAAGTATAAAAACTGTCCGTGGCGTGTGTAGAGATATGTTAAGTACTATTTTATGTTTTATTTTACAATTAATTAATATAATACAAATACTGACATATTATAATAATAATAATAGAGAAATTTGCCGCTTTTTTTTTTAATTTTCATTATTTTTTATTTTTTATTTTATTTATTTTTTTTTTTAATAAATTTTTTTATTCTTTTTTTATTTTTCATTTATCTATCGATATTAATATCAATAATATTTCTGATATTTGCTCTATATTCTTCTAATAAAATTTTTTTTGTTCTTGTTTTAAATTGCGATAATGATTTTGATTTTAGAATTTTTGGAGGTAAATAATTTAACACTTTTGATGCTAAGAAGAAGTGGCATTTTTGGCCTACAGTTTTGCGAGATGCTAAGTCTTTATATTTAATTTTGTTTTTTCGTCTTGTTTCGTGTTCATGAGTAACAATATTAAGGCTAGTTGGGTTTTTATAGTAGTAGTTGGCAATTTTAAGGAAAAAGTGTTTTTAGGATCTAATATTTTTAATTCTTTGTATAGTTGGTCCGAGGGGTAAGTACGATTTTTTTTATAAATAATTTTTAAGAATAATTTTTGAATAGTTTCAATTTTTTCTAGATAAACATTAGTTGCTCCACCCCAGCCAATGATTCCATAGTTTATTCTCGATTCCACCAAAGCATAATATAACATTTTTAGGTAAGGTAAATCCAGGATATTTGTAAGATATTTAAATTTATATAGAAATGTTCTTAATGTATTAACTACCTTATTTATATGATGATTCCACCTTAGGTGACAATCAATTGTGATACCCAAATACTTAACTTTTTTTTCTGATTTAATTTCAATATTTTTGCTATTATATATTATGTTTAGAGTATTATAGTTAGGAAGATTGTTTTCGTAACTTGTTAGAGATAAAAAGTGTGTTTTATTATAATTAACAGTAAGAAGCCTATGATCAAACCAATTAAAAAGGAGTTTTAAGTCATCCTCAACTAATACCTTTAAGTCCTTCCACGTATCTGCCGAATAGAAAACAACGGTTTCATCGGCAAAGCTAAGTACCTGGCCCTTATTATTTAATGATAATAAATCATTAATATATATATTAAACAGAATTGGGCCAAGTACTGTGCCTTGGGGTATCCCGCATTTTACATTCTTTACACTACTCATGTGTTCTTCTATTTGTACGCATTGCTTTCTATTCAACAGATAACTTTTAAAAAGCTCAAAAGCACTACCCCTTACTCCTGCATCTGCCAAGGCTTCCAACAACTGTTGATGGTCAACAGTGTCAAATGCCTTGGCAAGATCCAGGAACACAGCGATTGATGGTCTACTCTGGTCCATTGATGTGTACATTTGTTTTGTAAGCTCCGCTATAGAATCCTCAGTTGATTTGTTACTTTGGAAGCCGAATTGCTTTTTTGAAATTATGTTATTTTTGTTCAAAAATGATTCAAGTCTGATTTTTATTATTTTTTCTAAAATTTTTGTAAAATTGTTGGTAAGTGATACTGGTCTATAATTGGATGGTTTACATTTGTCACCATTTTTGTACAGAGACTTAACTATTGCAATTTTAAATTCTTCTGGAAAAACTGATTTTTCTAATGACAAATTAATGAGGTGAGTCAAAGCTATTACAATTTCCGTTTTTAATTCTTTAATAGTTTCTGCTGTAATACAATCTACACCTGGTGCCTTTTTATTCTTTAAATTATGTGAGTGAATAAGAAGATTCTAAAGAGAGATTACGGATAGGAGATAATAAGAAGATATTAAGGAAATAAAAGGGAGAAAATAAGGAAAATAAGGAGAGAATAATGAGAGAATAAGACCTCAAATTTAGTCTAGCAACAGCATCAATTTATTTGGAGGAAGTGAAAATTCTTAAGTGAAAGAGGACGACGATATTTTTTAAGTTATCAATTCCGAAACTGATAGTATAGAAGTCCATTGCAAAATGTTGGGTTGATTACTAGTATGGTTAAGTTTTTATGAAAATGTCGGCTAACGTATTGTGCAGTAGTAATCGGTCGGCAAAAATTTTAAACTGTTTGTAATCGTTCCCCATGTTTTATTAAATTTTGACTGCACCAGAATATGGAAAAAAAAATCCGAAACATATGTAGTTCTTTTGCTTGAATTTTTATTTATAAAAAATTCTGCTAGTCAGGAAATTATCCTTATTCATAAAAATTTAGGCATGTCAGTGATTGATCCAACATTATGTAGTGGGGTCCTTTATTATGAGGACTGTAGTATTTTGTAGAGTTTGTTGGAAAAGTGATGGATGCCAATTTATAAGCTTAAAAAATATTTTTGTACTTTTAAACAAGAAAGAATCCTACTTTCTCTTCCAACTTATTTCAATAGACATGCAGTAAACAGGCTGCAATATACGACGTCTATTACTCCGCCTATGATTACCTTTAATGTTATTCACCAAATTCAACGCCTTTTATTTGTAAGTCGATAATAACTAGAGTTATATTGCGTTAACAACAAGATTCAATAAATTTTGCCATCACTCATCGGAAAATAAATAGAACTTTGAATATCTTTAATCAATGAATAACTAATCTGATGAAGTTTAGAATGTGATAATTTTCAGATGAGTGTCAATTTGAAATGTCATTCTAATATATTTATTGGATCGTTATGTACTGACAGATTTAATGAAGGTACGTGCAAATTACACAAGTGGGCGTTGGAAAACATAAAATTTAATATGAAAATTTAAATTAGATAATTAATAAATTGTAATTTGAACAAATATATAAAAATTATTCAAATCAGAATACGTTACTTAGATAATGGTTATTATATATTTCCATACATATAAATAAAATAAATGTTTTGATGTTATAACTCCTGATACTATAATATTCTACAGACGAGGAAATAAAAATAAAATGCAGTATAACGTATGACAAAGTGTTTGACTTAAAGGAGGGATTTTTCAGTTTTCATCATAATATATAACAACACAATGCAATATCAATCTGGCTCTATGATTTAGAGCCCTAGAGGTATGGAAAGTTTTGCTTCATAAATAATATAAATCTCAAAATAACTTGTGCATGAAATGTATATTAAATGCATGAAACAACATTTATTCACAGTGGATATAAGGTCATAGCTGCTGGCGATTTTAAAAATCAAAAACTACGAAACAAGGTTACAAAACCAATTCAGTGAGTATTTCAATCATAAATAACGAAATTAAGATTAACTAATTTTGATAGATGGCATTTATGTGTCATATTTAATAATCCTTTTGTTCAACAGATGGAGCAATATTCCATATTTAATAGTTCTTTTGTTCAACAGATGGCTTAACAATTCTATTTTTTATTTATCTGGTTCAGTTTGGATACGTAATCGTCATGACAACACTGTGCAATTAAACGGTAACTTAAAATAACTTCAGCACCCCTAGTCCCGCCGCGATAGGCAAACGAGATTCTTGACTTTGCAAAATATTTTGCAAATAGTAGGTAAATAATAATTTTACCAATTTTTGATCTTATAAGATACACCTACCAGCAAAAAAATTAGTTAACTAAATTCACTACAGAATTGGTAAGTAATATTACATCCCTCCTAAATTTTCTAAATTTTAAGACATAAAATTTTACATTTTCTGATGTTTTTTAAATAAATAATGTACTCTTCTTAAAAAAATATAAAAAAAAATCAAAATTTAATGAATAATATGTAAATAAGGAGAGTTTTTTGGTAGTTTATATCTGGCATCACATAATGAGAAAATTTGGCTTATACCGACTTGTCATTGACTTGTCATTATTCAATATCTAACAATAGCAAGTTTTTAAAAAACCTGCCATTATTTTATTGATCTTTCTGTGACCATTATTATTACCCTTATTAGATAAACATTTATCTTTAGTTTACAATTATTTAGCAGTTATTCAATCAATTTGCTAATAATTCAGGAATAACCGTTAGTTGGCATTGACTTAAAATATTTCTAAAAAAAACTTGGAGTTATCTTTTAAATTTTAATATCGCCATCTACTAGTAGTAATAACAACATACAATTAAGGTTATTTTCTCGAGAGTATTTTGTTTGTGGGTTTGTGCGTGGTATGAAAAATAGAATGAATATAGAAAACGATAGTAATACGAAGAAACAAAAATATGGAACTGGAATTAACTTTAAGGTACAACAAAAACTTAAAGTGTCTGGTAAAGAATATGTGTCTCGTAAAGGAAAAAGTGTTCCAGCAAGAAAGCAACCGGAACTTGGGGTATGTTTAATTTTAGGCCTAGAAAGTGTTTTACTGATTTAACATTTTTGATTCTAAATGGTGTGCAAATGTTATAAAGACGATTATAAAAAAATTAAAGGTGAAGAAAAGAAAAAACTTTTCAATAATTTCTACTCTTTGGATCTAAACGCACAAGGATCATTTTGTATGTCTCATATTCATTTAGGAGAGGTTAAAAGAAGACGTAATGGTAAATATACTGACCCAAGGGAGAGCAGAAGGCAAAGTACGATATATTATACTTTGCCGGATGGATCAGAAAGTATTGTGAAAGTATGTAAGAAAACCTTCATGAATGTATTGACACTGAAAAAAAAAAGATGGAGGTTCTAATAACAAAGAAGAAAAGTGGTGATATAGCTTACACAGATAAACGCGGAACTCATGGCAATCATAGAAAAGTTTATACCAAAGAAAATCGCAACCGTATTATAAGTCACATAAATTCAATACCAAAAGACGAGAGCCATTACTCTCGCGAAAAAAGCTCAAAATTGTACCTTAGCCCGGACCTTAATATACATCGTCTTGCAAAAGCTTTCAATAATAAGTACCCTAACAATCAAGTGCTATATAAATATTACTGCAGAGTTTTCAAGAAAGAATTCCCAAATTTGAGTTTTCGTAGACCCAGAACAGATACTTGTAAGACCTGCGATAGACATGCAAGTGTGATAAAAATGGACAAACATGCATCGCCTACTGTGAGGCTAGACATACAGTTGCACCATAGTAAGGCAGAAAAAGCCCAAACCAACCTTAAAGAAGACTGCACAATACCAATAGATCTAGAAAAAGTATTATTCGTTCCAACGTTAGCTCACTCCGATATGTATTTTATGAGGCAACTGTCTGTTACAACTTTAGTGTGCATATTGCTGATACGAATGAAGCATTTATGTGTATTTGGAATGAAACCGAAGCGTCCAGAGGTTCTAATGAAATCATGTCCTGCTTACTAAAGGTTTTTAATTCCAATGTTACAGAAAAGGAGAAACTGAACATATGGTGTGACAACTGCACAGGGCAAAATAAGAATCGGGTGGCAATATTTTTGATCCTGTTTTTGACATCTATCGGTCTATTCACAGAAATTCCTCGTTAGCGGTCACAACTACTTACCAAATGATCGTCATTTCGCACAGATTGAAAGGAGGAGAATACTTAAAAAATTCTTCGTGCCCGAGGACATACAACAGCTCATCAGAGAGACCAGATCCATACAGCCATATAAAGTTGTGAACATGGAACCCGGACTTTAAATTTACAACAAGCTGCGGATTCCTTAATATCTACTACTAAGCTTTCAATATCGACGCTGTCACAGATACGAGTTACAAAAGATAACCCAGGATACATATTTTTCAAAAAATCTCACAGTGATATTGAAAGTTGGCAAAAGTTAAGAGTTCTCACGAAAAATATATCTGAGGACCAAATAAAAAACGTACAGATAGTTAGGCAGGAATCGACCCCAGAACTTAATGCAGCTAAAAAGCAAAATTTACGTGCTATGATTCCTTATCTTCATTTACCAGAGCACCGGGAGTTCTACGGAGAACTTACATCATAGTTGCTAGCACTTACCTACCATGAAAATGCTTGTGGTACCTAGCCCTTTTTTCTATTTTTTTCATTTTCATTTGCTTGTATTAGAAAATGTTTTGATTATTTTGTGTATTTCTTTCCATGTGTATGTTTCATGTTTGCAAATAAACACTGTTGACAAATTACAAATATTTTCATTCATAAATGGTTAAATTAATCGGTTTTCCGAGTCCCCTGAAAATTTTTCTTTTTGGCACATAGCCCCTTATTCAAGTCTACTCTTTAATTATAAACTAAAAATTTCAAAAAGACATATGAACCCATCGACAGCAAATAATCTCCGCGAGAAGTCCTATAGTTCTTCCATTATTAATTGCAGAACACAGTTATGTGGGGAATCATTAATATTTAATATATTCGCACGGCACTCATGCCAAATTAAGAAACGAAAAATAATGTTTACTCCCCTTATACAATGCGGTAAATATTAAACGAACCGTCAGTCCACGTGTACTTGATATATATGTGTAAAAATCCATTATCTCCGTTGTTTACCAATGAAAACATCGAATCGTAAACTTAAATATACTGTATTGGCCGAAGGTTTACGGAGGGCAGGAGTGTTCGAAAATATTCCTGGAAGACAGTCTGCGATATCAGTGGAGTACTGTCGTGCGGTGTGTTTTGTATGTGTGGTTGGTTTAATTTAGAAATTTCTTTAAATAAATATAAATATGGCGTTCTTTAGACCATGGGCGAATGAAGAAAATGAAATTGCATAGTGTAGTGAGATTTAAGACAGGTATCACTTTAACAATAAGGATTTGAAAATACAAACGCAAGTTATTTTAAATATATTAGAATGTTTAAAAAAGGAAAATATTCAGCAGTCTGATAATGCGATCATAATAAGAATTGCTGAATTAACCAAAGTAAATAAATTTTCCATTTATCGGGTAGTCACGAAAGGGGTTGCTGTGGATCATTTACAAAACCGAAAAACATCTGAAGAAAAACTAAAATCAGTTGACAAAGCTACCCAAGATTTTATACGAAGGACAATTTACAGTGTATATAAGGAGAACAGGGTTCCGACATTGGAAGTATTACAGCAAAAGGTAGCAGATTTTCCAGGATACACTTATACCAGTTTGGAAACATTGCATCAAGTTTTGTCAGCATGTGGTTTTAAACACATAAAACTGAATAAACGGATGGCAATCACCGAATCGTCAAGGATAATTCAATGGCGACAAGATTATTTGCGTCAGATAAAAGACTACAGAAGTTCTAATAGACACATAATTTATCTAAATGAAACATGGTTTGACAGTCACGATGTAGTAAATTTCGGTTGGGTTGACAGTAGTAAAAATTGCTGTTTGAATGGGCCATGTTCTAAAGGGAAACGCATTATAATAGTACACGCTGGAAGCAAAGACGGTTTCGTGCCTAATGCTTTATTATTATCTGCTAAAAAAATTAAAAACTGTGCAGCTGATTATTATGAAGATATGACAGCAGAATTATTTGAAAAGTGGATTAATGAACAGCTTTTACCTAACATTCCACCACAGTCAGTAATCGTTATAGACAACGCATCCCACTGCTCAAATTTTAGCGTTTATGTCTGAAAAAAATATTCCTATTCCTGCCAGTGATCGTAAAAAAGGCTCAATAAATAAAGAATTGATTACTGTTATTAAAAGTATAAAGTTAGAAAAAATTTATTATATTGAAAAGATGTGCAAAGAACAGGGTCATACTCTTCTCAGATTACCTCCTTACTATTGCATATTTAACCCTATAGAGTTAATATGGGCAAATGTAAAATCAGAATTACGAAAATGTAATCAGTCTCCAGAACTGAGTAAAGAGGTTGTAGAACTCGTAAAGAAAGTTCTAGCAGCAGACCGCCAAGAGCTTTGGAAAAACTGTGTTGAACATGTTATCAAAGAAGAAGATGAGTATGTGGTATTGCCCTCTTTACAACCCATCATAATTCAACCAAATGATGACTCTGCCATGACACAAAAGTTTCTTGGTTTTAAACAATTTTTTAAATTTTAATTTATTTAATCTGAAAAATGCTCCACCGACTTCAACACCAAAATTCAAAATGGGACATCCTGAATGTTAATTCTTAGATTCTTCTCGGTGAGTAGATTTTAACGATAGGTATGTCACACATATCTAATTATCTAAACAGTTGAATGTCGAGAAAAATGGTTACATGTCCCTATCCTATCGAAAACTAGCTGATAAGATCACCCTGCATCAAATAATTTTTCATACCACTGAATAGAACTGGAAAAGATAGGATAATACCCAATAAAATATAGAAATATTTTGGCGGGGTACTTAGAAAAATTTGTAGAACGAAATCTCCTATTTTTTAGCTCTGGTTTTAAAATCACTTTTTATGATTTTTTTTTAAACTCAGTATCTAAACAGAACAAATAAAAAGTAGAAGATTTCATTTTCCAAACCTTATAATTTAAGCTGGTAGAAGATTTATTGTAATACATTTAGCAGAATTTAAATGCTATCGGAAATGGTGACCCTTGCTTCTTATAGTAAAAATACACCGAAACTGCAGCCTTAAGGAGTTCTATACCGCATATTTATTACACTTCTATTTGTTCTACCAGTTTCTAATTTAATTTACGTTAATGATGTATTAATTAAAACTTACGTTCAACACATCTTGGGCAGCATTCTCCTGGCAATTTTTGGAATTTGGTTCCGTATGCACAAGTGGTGGAAGTAGTGTTACAGCGGGTTATAGCACAGCGAGTAGTACCTCTCTGACAGATGCATGATTTGCACTCTCCTAACTTCCATTGTTCACCATCCTGCCTAGCAAAAAACTTGATTATACAGGCTGTAACTACACGTTCTAACTAAACTAAATATTTTAAAAATTATAATATAACAATTTCAAACTGCAAAACCTCCTGGACACAATTATTGTCAAAACTCTAAATACTGCAAACATATTCATTTCATTGGTAGTTAGAAATCTATATATTTAGATCCTACAGGAGTGTTCGATGCTTACAAATAAAATTCTATGGGGTGGTAAAACTTGTAGTCCAAGAATTTAATAATTGAAAATAAAGTCGCCATAATAAGTGCAGATCTTCTATTGTATAATACGATAATTAAATTCAATATTACGACCAAAATGGCAATATTTTACGTGTAATACGTCATATTCCTAACCCAGAATCTTTTTTAAAAAGTTATTATTTCTGTTTTCAGTAGCTAGTTATGAAACCAGTTACAAAATGCCTTGTTTTATGTAACGGGTGAATATTTGCGAGACGCAGTACCTCAACATGAACGAGTAATCGCTATATTTGAGAAACGTCGCAAAATGGATGCGTCAAATTACAGACAGCCTTCTGTCTATGCCATCAAAAATCATGGAAAGAAAATATCGTGGTTGATTTTATGACTAACTTTTTCACAGAGCATAATGTAATACCACAGGAACGACATGGTTTTTTAAAAGGTTAATCTACTACAACAAATCTTTTATGCTCCATTAACGATTGGTCTCGCTCACTCGAATGCAAACACCCAACTAATGTAATTTATCTAGACTTTGCGAAGTCTTTTGACAGGACCCCTTTCATCAGACCGCAGCACAAACTCGAGTCATTAGGTAATCGACGAAAAGTTATTGACATTGATTCTCAATTATCTAGGAAATACAAGCTTTCCAGTCAAATTTGGTCAGTCCTACTCATCAGATAGATTAGTGACAAGTGGTGTCCCCCAAGGCTCGATACTGGATCCGCTTCTTTTTATAACTTATTCGAGTGATTTACCTTACCATATCCAGTATCAAAGAGCATTTTATGCAGATGACAAAATATTTTTGTTAGTGACTTAAATACAATAAGTGATTGGTGCTCGGACTAGTTGCTTCCGTTAAATATAAACAAGTGTGTGGTTTTAGATTTTAGATTAAATTAGAAATGTGAGCCATGAGAGCTCCCCCACCTCGGCCTTTTCAGATCTAATGTAAATATCCTTTAATCGTTGTTTAGTATCTTGTCTAATTCGGTCTTTTGTAGTAGGCTCCATAGACTGGGAAGTAGTTATCCGGTATAGCTAGTTTCCCTTAGGTTTTCTTCTCCAAATGTAGGAATCTCAGTGTTGCTAGAGCTTCGCAGTAGCACAATGAGTGTTCTGCCGATTCCTCCTCTATCTGACAGAATCTGCACAAGGTCTCTTCTGTCAGACCGATATTATACATATGTTTGTTGTCCTGGTGAGTTTTTCCACCACTCCTGGGATTTTTTGAACATTCACTGCTTTGTGCATGTTCTGATAGTTGTTTTTGTTATACCACAGAAGGGTTCTGGGCCAATAAGGGCATTTGAAGCTGCTTCTCGGGCTAGTAAATCAGCCTGTTCATTGCCCTTATGTCCTCTGTGGCCTGGTACCCAGGCTAAGGTTAGTCTGTTTTGACTATCCAGTTCTATTATTGCTTTCAAACAGTCCCACACAAGCTTTGAGTGTACCTACATGAAACTGAGTGCTTTTAACGTCGCTTGACTGTCTAAGTATATGACAATGGTTTTTCCATTTACCTTCTGTCTTAATACATCTTTTGCGCAGTGATGTATTGCTGCTATTTCTGCCTGGAATACTGTCGCATAATTACCTAAGCTCAGTGAGATTCTTGTCTTTGGCTTAGTACTATACCTACTCCTGAATCTTCATGGGTTTTGGAGCCGTCTATATACCATGTGAATTCTGCACGAATAGGAGGTCCTTCCTGTCTAGTATACTTATTGCTTTTGAAAGCTATACTTTAGGAGCATTTCATCTAAAGCCTTTTCAATTTGGTCATTCTCCAACTCTTTATATAGCTCGCTGTAGTCGCCTCCATGCAAACTGGTTATGGGTAATGAACCTTTGTGCAGTCTATATGTGACAGACCTGGCTTCGTCTTGAATGAATATATGTATTGGTGTTAAGTTTAGCATGACTTCTAGAGCTGCTGTTGGAGTCGTTCTAATAGCTCCCGTGGTACTCAGGCATCATACCACCGACCCGTAGGTTATCATCGGCTTTATGACTCTGGGGACATTTTCGGTCACTCCAAATTTTTTCCACTCAACTTCGACATAAGATAAAGGATGTTGTGCTCTTTTAGGTGACTTTTTGCAAATTTTAATTCCATGTTAACCTGTGGTCAAAGATGACTCCCAAGTATTTGGCCTCTTGAGCAAATGGAATCTTTACTCCTTTCAGTACTGGAGACTTTAATCCTGTTGGTATTTTTCGTTTTGTGAAGTTGACTATTATGGTTTTGTAGGGGTTTACTGTTAGTTTCTCCTCTCTACCCTACTCGTCAATAATATTTAGAACGGTTTGTGTGCGCTCCGATATTGTACCTGTCAACTTGCCTCTTACGATGATCGCCAGTAGAAATCTGCAAATAGCCTTTTTATGAGTTCGTCCACTAGAGGAGGGGTGATAGTACTCCTATCTCGGAGCAGCCGATGCCTGCTTTAGCTGTTAGTGTAACTTCACCTAGAGATGATGTTATTACCCTTCTAAACTGGCTTTTTTTTATCCACTGACATAGGAATACTGGTATTCCTTTAATTGTTAGTGCGGTAATTATAGATCTTGTTTAGGCATTACTGAATGCTCCATTAATATCTAAGATAGTTGCTACGGTAATTTCTTTATCCTTCAGGGATTTTGACGATAGCCTGTTGAGATCATTCAGGGCCAAATCGGTTGATATGCCTGGCTGATATGCATATTGACGGTCGCTGAGAGGATTTTCTCTCAGTATTTCATCTCGTATATATCCATATATTAGTCTTTCTAGCGTTTTTAGCATAAATGACGATAGACTGGACGGTAACTGTGTGGTGTTACATATCGGTAAAAATAATCCACGTCTTTCTTACTCGCTCGGTAGCCATAATTTGGCGCAAGTGTCTTCGAATGAAGATTCAGGTATTTTAATGACATCATAACTAACATGGTCTAAACACATTCTAAAAACACGTAATGAAAGACTTTCGCATGGGTATCATTTCATATATCAATTAAATTATTTAAGACTTATGTTCGACCTTTCTTAGAATATGCAGGTCTACTTTGGTGTTCGCTTCTTGTGCGAGACCAGAACCTTTTAGAAAATGTTCAACGCTGGGCTACCAGAATGACCTTTGGAGCAACTCGACCAACATACGCGGGAAAACTAAAATTGGCAAACTTTTGCGAATCGTCGATTGATTCTAACTTTTAGAAAACTTAAATATAATTACGGAAATCTTAGTGATATTTTTTGTTAAATATTGACTATCATCTACGTCTACTAGAATTAAAAAAGAAACGATCTCAGCGACAAAGTTGTTGGTGCCATAATAGTTAACATCTTTAAAAATTAGTTAGACGAGTGTTTGCTTATTATTATTTAATTTTTAGTTTTCTCTTCTTTTTGTCTTAGCGTGTTTACATTGTTCAATTTTTCTATTTTGTTTTTAGGATATCATAGGACTTATGTCTTTTTATGTCCTCAGCCTTTATCAATGTATAATCAATAATAATACTTTCTTGTATTGTCAGTTGTTTAAGCATCATTTTACTTACAAATAGAATATAATATTTATTATTTATTCTAAATAACTTGCAGTGTGTTTATATGGCTTATTATAGTCATTTTGTTAAAAAAAAATGGATTATTTTGTCGTGTATTGAGTTTTAATTATTTTGTGCTGATTTAGAATGGAAAATAAGGACCAAACCATCATTATTACTAGATTGTATGTTTAACCAAATCCAATTTTTTCAATCTACCCTTTTTTGATATAAACTATCAATAATAACGTACATTATTGATTCTAAAACAAAAAAAAAATATTTTTATTTATTTTCTGGCGAGATAATGAATTTTTCGAAACCAGTATCACAATGTTCAACATTATGCAACGTAAAGAAGATCATTTTGACACTGGCTGCGATTACAAAAATGTCACTTTATATGCCATAAATTATAAAAATTTGTTTTTATTATGTGGGGACAATAAATAAAATAGAAGTTAATTTTAGAGATAAACTTGCCTGATACAATTTACTATCCAGATAACAATCCGATTTGAATTCTTCTGGTAGCTCGCATTTCTTGCAGCAACTTCCTATTACATGTTTCTGTAAATCTGGAGCGCAATCCAAAATTGGACATGTGTAACGTTTGCAGACGGACGTTTCATTATTGCAGGTGCAATTTGTACATTTGTCCTCGCTCAATGATTCTCCTTGCCTAAAAAAATCAAAATAGTTTCTGTTGGTACTTTACAGTTTTTGCCACTATCTAATTTTGGTTTAAGGCCACTTTAAAGTTTCAGGAGCTTTGAAGAGCCTACCTTTATAGTACCTTTGTATAAATATAAAAAATGAGTTTTTTTTTCTATAAACTGAATGTCGTATCTATTATTAATACAGCTCTTTGAGATTGTTTTCTAGAATCGACAAGCCTTTAGTTAGGAGTGGAAAGACCGATGACATTTGAGAATATAATAGAAAACTGCCCCCATTGAATAAAAATCTAACTGTTTCAAGCAATTTTTGAAATTTTCTTGTTAGGAAATAAGTATTGTCAATGGGAAGTTGACATGCAGGTTACATTTGAACTAAACTAGTTACATTTTGATAAAATTACCAAATTACAATCCTAAAGGGAAATTATAAACAAAAAAACTCGAAAATTTACTTTAATACGACAGCATCGATAAATATGCTAGCGATCAATTGTAGGCTATAAACTGCTGTGGGGTAAACTGCTAGTGATCAATTGATGGCGGTGAATTGTGAACACATAGACTGGTTCATTTTATCCGAGTTTCATTGGTTTTAATTTAAAATATATTGGTAGCTATTTATTTATTTTTAATCATAGATAATTTACATAAACGGGACATCCCTGATAATTAAAAAGTAATATATTAGAATTTTTATTTTCAATTTTAAATGATTTTGGAAACTAAGTCCATGGGTCAAACCAAAACTACTACAAAGTGTGACTAGAAAAAAAAAAGGATTATCGCTACATAATAGTTTACTGCTTTTCTTTCATTTCATTTTAACATTATTATCTTCAATCTACAACGAAAATGTTGACGAACTTGCAAAAAGAGGGTCAGAAGAAACACTGGAACCAGACACAAACCCAGGAGTACCAAAAAGTACAGTCCGGGGTTTCATAAACGACTGGATTCAGGAACAACATCCCAACTATTGGGGAAGCATCCCAAAACAGGCACATGGAAAAGCCTTCATAGGCAGACCATGTCCCAAAAGAACTGGAGAACTACTCTTTATGAATAGGAACCAGTTGAAAGTGATAACAGGGTTCATGACTGGGCAGGCCACAGTAAAGGGACACTTGAACAAAATTGGCATGTACAATGGGGAACTATGTCACAAGAAACCAGAAACGGCCAAACTGTTAGGAATAGTTTTGTTTAGTTAATGCTTAATATTTATTAATTTACAATATATTGTTTTATGTTTTGTGTTACCCCTGTAATTTTGTTTAACGTCAGTATAAAAAAAGATATTTGTCAATCATTAAATAAAAAGATAAAAAAAGCCTACAAATCTCGTTCTACTATTATCAACACAAACACATACTGTGCGAATGCGAAGCTCTAGATCACAAAAGACAGGCTCTTTTTGGAAAACCCCAGGTTAATCCAATAACGTATAGAACCCACTCAACCAAGGATTTTTACAAAGGTGACAGAGTGGGTGTTATGAAATAACATGGGGTAAAACACAATAAGCCAATAAGCTTCAGTGTTATTCGGAAACATAGTTAGACGAGCCCAGGAAAAAAAATTCACAACTCCAGTGTTGTTCAAGGTCTCCGCTTTTTCTTTAACAGCTCTACTATCTAAAATATGGTTCTTTTTTGAGATCTAAGTTCACCTTGGACAATAGAAAACGTCATGTAAGAAACGATCTGGTAATTGAGATGCCTGTACTAATACAAACATTTAAATAATTACCCAAAAATCTCTTGACAGTCAGTGCAGTGTTGGCTGCAATATAAGGAATCATGACTTTGTTTTTTTTTAAATCTGCCACTTTCTTTCTCGGCGATAACTACGGATAAACACTCATCTTCATATCTTTTTTTAGTAAAACATACGTTTCTAAGGCGGATCTTTCTGGTTTCATAAGAAATTTTACATTGACTTGTTGCTCTCCTTGAACACACGATCATACTTCCGGCAGAGCTCAGATGTAAGTTCTACTTCGAACAAAGTCTACGGCACAATTAAGTAGAGCGCAAGCTAGTGATATGATCATTCGAATGGTATAGCATTTTAATATTTTTTACGGCCATCATTCGAATTATATCTGAATTTATAACAAAGGAAAAGATTATGAATTCAGACAGGAACGAGAGTGACTTCTTGAAATGTGGAATAGAGTAGGCCACCAAAATAACTTATTTCCATTAACTAGGATACATATGCATACCGCATTCTGATTGGATAGATCTCTGTCAAGTCGGGAAACCACCCATCCATTTCAATCAGTATGCTGCCTAAAACGCTTGCATGATAAAGTAAATATGACGTCTAACGTTTTAGACGTTGAAGTACTGCATTCTGTCAAAATATGAACTTTTTACAGTACTTTTTACACATTGATCTTAAACTACATAATCAAAACACGGTAGACTATGACAAATAATAAATGATTCGAATGATATGAGTCAAATACTCGATTAATTCGATTTTGAAGCATCCGAGTATTTGATTATAAATCATTTAATTATACCCATCACTAGTGCAAGCTAACGCGAACTGCAGATGCACAGATAGGACAGGACACCATTTCCATCTGCACAATCAGAGAATGTCCACAAGAAGGAGTTCTATCCCCACTAATGTGGAGTTAAACCGTAGAAGAATTTCCTTACTTCAACATACCCTTTGTAGGACTAGAATACACCAAAAGATGATGCCAAGAGGTAGGAAGTATAAACCCCACCAAAAAACACTAGTAGCCTTCTTAAGGAAAATAAATTTCAATCAGTCAACTATCTAGGCCTAACACTAGACAACAAACTTCTCTGGCACATAGATAAGAAGGAAGTAGTAAATAAGGCTACAAAAGTCCCAAAAGTATGCAGAAATATTGCGGTTAAAAACTAGGGATGTAACACGAACACACTGCGATGGATCTATACAGCATAGCGAGACCAATCATTACTTATGGGACTTATGGGACTGTCCTACGGCCGCAATGGATGTAATTTTGATACTCACTCCTCTACATTTAAAGATAGAGAACGTGGCAAAAAGGACAAGAAATAGAATAATCAGGAACGGAGCAATCAAAAGAAAGTGTATTAACTTCAGGATAAAAGATACTTTGATATGCCCCAAGACGAAACGAGAAAGAAGTACAGTTTTGTAAAAAATGTCAAAACCACAATGCTGGACTGCAAGAAAGAATGAAACCAAGAATCCATCGTGCTTGGAACCGAAAAACATGCCATTTAGTGGCAAAACAATAGAAGGAACTGGAATATGATTATATGGGCCCAGAACCTAGTACTCTGAAAGTTTGGGTAGATACCCCCAAGCATTTTCCAGGTGGAAATTCACATCATTGAGAAGTGTATCCGGTTTAAAAACTGAAAGTACCTAAAAGAATGAATGAACTAGGCGAAGAAAAACCAGTTACTCCTATTTGGGTAAAGGATAACAAGATTGTAGATATTCTTGAAAGGAAAGGAGATTAAACACCCTTTGTGGGACATGACTCGTTCTGCGGTATCAGCAGTAACACAATATTAGGGGAGATTAAAAAAGAATTTGGCAGTAGAAACACAGATAATTGGAACAATCTCTTGAGGTTATGACAGGCTAAGATATTTCGGGGTGAATATAACCAGAAGAGATCGGAAGCCTGTATCATTCTGATCAAGAACAGGCTACGCATTTTAACATGGATCCTTACTGGGCATTGCCAACTCAAAGAAAACCTTAGTAAACTGAAAATAGAAGCAGATTCTGTGTGGAGGACATTCTGACTGAATCCAAGGGAACTTTACTTAGGAGCGTACCAAATAGAAAATATCGATCTACCTAACTCTAAATCGTACACTTTCTTACATAGTACAAGCTTTACGATGACAACAACTTACAGAGAAGATATCACGTGATACGCTCGGGTTCCGTTTGATCTTGATGGCCTCACCGTTTGTCTGCAGAACCATCATTCCGTTTTGTGTTTCTAGCACACTTCGTGTATGTAGTTATATAGACATTTTTAGAGGGTAAATTGTTTACGTTAGAAATATTTATGATTGTCACCAATATCGGGGTGATGTAAAAAAATGGAAGTATTTTAACAAAAAGAGGAAGGTCATTAGATTTTAATTTTGATCATTGTTTTTTTTTATTGTGAGATGGGTATTTAAAAAGCAAGGAGGGTTTGAAAGAGTGTCAGAGCAATTGGCATATATATTGTTAAGTTAAAATTTGTTGCAGAAAGATCACAAATAAAGAAAAAGGTTAAATTAAAGAAATCGAAACCGAGTAGCTATACATTGAGGCTAAGACTGAGAGATGGGAGCACTGGTAGGAGTACCAGCAGAAAGACAGCGTGACAAAAATGCAGAAGACGAAGTGATAGGTATTCTGGTGAAGTAACACCTCAAGAAAAAGAAATTACTTCAAACATGAAGGAGTTTTACATATCGCTAGGTATAACCAGTAATTATATTTTCTTATCTGGTATGCGGTTAAAAAAATAAGCACTGTAATATATTTTCCTCAAAATTATTGTTATTTTAACAAGAAGGTGATTTTATAGGTTCTAAACTATGGATTGATCTACAAAAAATATTTTTAAAGTAGGCCTTGACATATTTGACTGTTAAATTCGTCTTCTAAGTGTCAGTTTGGATTTAAATCAGAGCCATGCATAGTTATCACGAACAAGACTCGTATATCTGTCTTTATTCATCATGATCTAGGTACTTTAAAAATATTTTTTGTGGATCACTTTTTACTTTAGCCGCTTTTCCGCATTTTTGTAATATTGATATTATTAATTAAATATTAAAAAAAGTATATACTTCAAAAATACATTTCGGACTGTACAGGTATTTTTCGGCATCAGCAGGGCTCTGGTTCCCTGACATTTGGGGCAGCATTCTCCGGGGAGGTGTATTTGTCTGTATGGGGTACATTGCAGAACCGGACATGCTTTTTTGGAACAAATCATTCTTCCGCTGTTACATCGGCATTTTAAACATGGATCATCCGATATGACGTCTCTGTCATCTGTCACTATTTGGTCGTTCATTCTACATTCTGAAAATAAACATACTCATTAGAATATAACTTTTTTCTACTAATCACAACCTCGTATCATTTAATCTTCAAAAGACTGAATTTTATTCTATAATGAAGTTAATTTTAAACAACTTTAAAAATAGTTATTTATGCAACAAGTGTGTAAAGTTACTCTTTTTTTGACGAATGTGAGTAAAAAATGGGACTTTTACACACGAGTTGCATACAATATTTTTTTACTACCGTAAATATTATCCACTAATATGAGAAATATAAAAGTTACTTTTTTTCACTAAAATAACTTCTTTGCACTTTACGTACTAGTGAAAAAAAGTACAACTTTACGCACTCCATGCATTATTTAAAGTATGTACTATACGCATGGTAGTAGAAAAAATATTATATGTTTATTTAAGCTCAATACACTTGGTATATTTACATAAAACAAATTTAATGGCTTTCTCACTTTCTGGCGCTGTTTTGCAAAAATAAAACAAAAAGTGGCAGTTAATAATCAGTTGAGTCATCTGGACGGGTTTTTCTAAAATTCATCTCACGTTATACTGTCAGTGGCGTAGTGGTTTATTTAAGAAAATAATTTTAGGTTAAAAGAACATTGAAAATAATATTAATAGATATTTAGAAAAGTTATTTAGAAATAAGAATTCTCCAATTTAGTTTCTTCAATGTTTGTCTCCCAGATTTCAATCTGTACCCTTTGGTTACTCTACTAGTTTAAAATGTATCAATAATAAACACATAGTTTAAAATAAAAGTACCAATCTCTATGTACGCCACTGCAATTTAATGTAACGTTGTCTTCCGGCAGATCTTTCATTCCCTTAAGATAATTACTTAGAAGGCGTGTTTTTCCGAAAAAAGTGCATTTTTGCTGATTGCGCTTTACAAAACGGTACTTTAGCCTTGTATATGTTACATTTTATTTTTAAAATAGGTACCTACCGGTAATTTACGAAGATACTTAGTGAATATATAGTATTCACATTTCCGCGAAGAAAATCATTTATTTTTGGATAAAATTAGTACTTTGTGGTCAACAGTTCATACAGAGTCGGCTTAATTAAACTTGTTAGTAAATTTAAAATCAAAACTTTATAAAAAATAAGAAAAGCTCATCTTCACCCACATTTGGTTGGTTAGTGAAATATAAACCGTTTTAAAGCGGTAATTTGCGGTATTTACCATTTTAATTAAAGCGATTTTGGTTAGTCTTGGTTACATTCTATGACGTCATATTCAAGCCCTTTGAAGCGTCATTAATTGTAACCGGTAATACCTGAGTCCGGTCTTCGGTTAATATTGACAGTGTCATGTATTTAGTGTTTTTTGATTAGATTATAGAACTTGCTCCGTCAAATATGAAAGTAACATTAGTTATAGTATTATTTATGTATATAATTAATTATATTAATTAATTAATATTAAGTATATTAATATAATTATATATATAATTAATTTTATAACTAACTGTCGTGATAAATTACTATTGTCTGATTTTATTGAAAGTTTTAACTTGTGTTGTCAAAATATGGAATCCAGTAAAGTAGCTATTAACAAAAATGGCCGCATTACTAGATCCAAAATTGACTACTTGCTGACTAATTCTTCCTTCTCTTATCGGGAATCAGTTTTGGATTTAAATCTCGGCGATCATTTTGGTCTTTTTATAAAGTTTGATCATATTCTGCAAGAGCACATTGTGAATAACAAGAAAAAAACATTTAGAAACCTTTCTTATGCCAACCTGCATAACCTGTAATTCGAATTGGCTAAGGAAGATTTCCAAATAATTTACGAATCACCTAACAATATTGATCGAACTTTTATGAACTTTTAAAATATTATTCATTAATATTTAAACTTAACATGTCCTATTATAACAAAGAGTAATATTGACAAGGGCTTTTCTAATAAATGGATAAATGAGGAGATTCTATGGATGGGAGATGATTTAAAAGCGCTATTATGGTTATTAAAGAATTCTTCTGAGGCTGACATTCTATCAAATTATAAATTACAAAAGAAAAAATATGCTGAAAAAATAAATCAAACTAAAAGGGCATTCTTTCAAGATAATTTAAAAAATAAATATATTTATCAGAAGCAAAAAATCATCTGGAATACTGTAAATATCCAAACAGGAAAAAGCATTTTACATAATGTGGAATCTCTTAAAGTTGCTAATCAAATTATATCCGGGAAAACTGATATTGCAAATACACTTGTGGATTACTTCTCATCCTGCACTAGCGGTGCTATTAATAATCATTTTACTAATTTAGTATTCAATGATTATACCACCACGTACGTCCAAAATACATTCCATTTTATCAGTGTTAGTGCTTGTTGAAGCCATTTCTTCACTAAAAAACACCAACTCTGTTGGTATTGACAGTATTTCCACGGAAGTTATAAAAACAATCTGTCCACATATTGCTCATGCTCTGGGTAAATTTCCAGCAGATCTAAAAATGGGGGTAGTAACACCAATCGTCAAAAAAGGAAACCAAAAATTACTTGAAAATTATAGGCCAATTACTGTTCCTACTGTAATTTGTAAGGTTTTCGAGAAATGTGTATACAAACACATGTTGTCGTTTTTATTTAAATATAATATCATATCAGGTCACCAACATGGTTTTTTCCAGATAGGTCAACTGAGAGTGCCACTACGAGCTTTTTCAATTACATATATGGTCAGTTTGATTGGTGGGGGCGCTCTTTTTTGACCTCTCCGAAGCTTTTGACTGTATTGATCTGAATATAATTGAAAATAAATTATTTGCTTTTGGTTTCAGAGAGGATTTTCTAACGTGGCTATCTTTATATCTCAACATGAGGAAAATGTTTGTTAACATTGAAGACTACTGATCTATATTTAAAGATATTGATCGTGGTGTCCCTCAGGGGTCAATTCTAGGCCCACTAATTTTCTTGTTATACATAAATGATCTTTCATCACAGATAAAAGCAGATTATACTGTTGGTATGCTGATGATACCACATTGGCAGCTGATGCTGAATCTCTTGCAGAGCTTCTCTTAAAACTTAATAATTTAGCATATCAATTTACTGTATGGTGCAAAAGAAATTCCTTAATATTAAATTCTAGCAAAACTGTTGTTATGCAATTTTTTTCTAGAAATAGGATAACTGATAATATAAACAACTTTTAAAAATGTCCGTTTGTGCGATGTCACGTTTTTTGTCCGCATGATAAGTGAAAAACGAAAAATGATATAAACTTAAAATTTTCAAGAAAAATCAACCTCTATAAGTGTACGAAGCCTATTATTTTAAAAAAAATCTAATTAAAAATGGAGGGGTTAAGGAGGATTGAAATTTAAAAAAAATATATAAATTAAAAACGAAAAACAATGTTAGCTTGAAATTTTTAGGACATATCAATCTCTATAAGGGGACGATTAATAATGGAGGGCTTAAGGGGGATTGAAACATTAAAAAAAAATTATAAAATAAAAACAAAGCCAATATCAACTTGAAATTTTCAGGAAAATCAAGCTCTGCAGTTTACTAAAGCCTTTTCATTTTTAAAAAATATGAATAAAAATGGGAGATTAAGGGGGAAAACATTAAAAAAAAATCATAAATCAAAAACAGAAAACAATATCAACTTGAAATTTTTAGGAAAAATCAAGCTCTGCAAAGGGACGAAGCCTAATGATAAAAAAATAATTTTGCTTAAAAATGAAGGGGTTAAGGGGGGTTAAAACTTAAAAAAAAATTAAAAACAAAAACTGAAAATAATATCACCTTGTAATTTTCAGGAAAATCAAGATTTACCATGGGACAAAGCTTATTGATTTAAAAAAATCTGATCAAACATAGGGGGGGTTATGGGGGGTTGGAATTTAAAAAAAGCGACATTACCATGACATTTATATTAAAAATCAAGTTCTATAAGGGGACGAAGCTTATTGATTTTGAAAAATCGTATTAAAAATGAAGGGGTTAAGGGGGATTAAAATATTAAAATAAAATCCTAACAGAAATAAAAAACGATATCATCTTGAATTCTTCCGGAAAAATAAAGCTTTTATAAGGAGGATGAAGCCTTTTGATTCTGAAAAAAATCTGATTAAAAATGGGGGGGGGTGAAGAGTGTCATTTTTAAGCAACTTTTTTTCAACTAAAAAACAGGCTAAAAACTATCATGAAGGTGATTGTTATTTAAATGGAAAATGGAAAGTTAGGAACAGGCACCACTTAATGTTAATATTAAGATCTTAAATTTTTAGAGCTTTCTTTTTTCACCTTCCTGAAAGATTTCAGCCTATTTTGAAAAAAAAGTTGCTTAAAAATGACATTCCCTATTATACAGGGTGTTTCAAAAAGGTATGTCATAAATTCTTCCTGATATTTCTAATATTGAATTGGCGCCATAAAAATGGTCTGTCACCCGTCCACCACACATCGGAAAAAAGACAAATAAAGTGAAAGTAGATAACGTCAATATTAATTCAGCTACTACAAACTACAATTAATATGCTGCGTTTGAGAATCCACATCGGATGCATCTGAGATGTAGTAAATCTTTGATCACGTGATTCAGTATACGTAAATGTAATGGGACAGATGTGTCAGATGTGGATAAAAAAACGCTCGAGATGTAAAAAATGCATCCGATGTGGATTCTCAAACGCGGCATTAGACTTAGGCTAGTAGGACATTGTGCCACCCCGGAACACCTTTACCGGATAGGAGTGTATAACTCCCCTAATTAATAATAATAATATAATATAATAATAATGAGTTTATTCAATACCAAAAAATATTTACATGTAAAATTACAATATTATGCTGAATAAACTACGACTAATCACAGAAGCGTCACCCCAGAAGAGGTTCAGCTTGTATTGTGATATACTTATTTAGTAAGTTCATACATTTGTATCCTTAATATTAATATTAATTACTATAATAATTTCTATTATCATTCGAGAACTAAAAGATTACAATGAAATTTCAGAATTAAG